GCACAGTTCTGAACACCAAGTCAAATCTGGGACAGCACAGTAGGAGTCAAAAGAAGTCATCTATTCCACAACAATGTGCCATGTGGCTGGTTACTAAAAATTCCTGCAAACTACAGTGCACAGTAAATTAAGATTCATGTTTAAAACAAAACATTTTCCTTGTGTATTTACATTATAGAAGGCAACTGCAAAAGAAGCTAGTTCAGAAAAAGATCTGTAACCTCTGGAGGGACCTCCATTTCCCCATACAAATTGCAGGAGTAAAAAAAAAAAAAGTGTGCACATTTGTAGAATGTTCTCAGTCTTACTAATCACATTTGCTAAAGCACGAATTAGTAACTTGTATAGCAGTTTTAAGAACACAGCTCATTTATCAAGTTCAGTTGCACATCATCTATGATAACAGAGCTCCCAATTCTCCCAAGTGCCACTTCTTATGTAGTCAAAAATGGCACCACACACACACACACAAATGGAACCTCAAAATTTGCAAAAGCCCCCACTCCAGCTCAACAGCCAAAGCCTGTTGAATAACCAGGGGGGGGGGTGTCAGAAAACTGGGTGGAGGGGGGATGGAATGGCAGGAACCCTGAACAGATACTATTCACGCTGCAACATTTTGTCACCTCTATTGCTATCTCAGTTGCTGAAGAGCATAAATTATCACCCTCCATTGCTCAATAGGTGCAGAAATCCATTCATTAGGAGTTATTTGAATTTGAATTTTTAAGTACCGTATTTTTCCATGTATAAGATGCCCCCATGAATAAGACCATCAAGCCCTATTCTTTTGAACCCCAAATTAAGAAACTGGGGCAGAGCCAGAGCCTGAACCCAGGCCGCCCATGCCAGAGCCTGAAACGGACCCCAGGCTGCCCACGCCAGAGCCCAAACACGAACCCAGGCCGCAAAGACCAGAGCCGAAACATGAACCTGAACTCTTGTGCATTCACCATCCATGTATAATATGACCCTACTTATTAACCCAATAATAACAACAGCAATAGACTTACTATAGAAACAAAACTACCATGTGCAGAAGAGAACAGTCCTTTGTATGTTAAATCAGATATGCGCTTTTGTCCATGTACCTCTGTTCTGCTACGAGTACCCCTTAATTCTACTTGCTTTGAATAATCAGTGCTGACTCTGAATTGCTAGTTACATTTAAGTGTAGACGTGCCAATTATTCTGCAATAATTAGCAGTGCATATTTGACACCAAAATTACAAAATAATTTTTAAAAGCAGTCCAAAAACTTTATGATCAGGAATGGACATTATCACAGCCAGAATGGGAAGACACGACAACTGAAGCACAGTTGGAAAAATCTGATTACTTATGTTTCAGGCATTTACAAATATCTTTCAACAGTAACAGAACAGAATCTTAAACTTGGCTGTCGGCAGACAACAGATTTTTCAGCTCATATTTAACAAGTTAGATGAGGAAAAAAAGAGAAGAGCGTGCTGGCACTTAATTAACAGTACACTCTAAAGTTCAGTGAATCTTAAGAGAACTTTGAAATATAACTAAACCACCCCATCTGGATTTCAGGGGGCATCTGATTCTACCCACAAGAAAGACAAGATTTGCTGTTGCCCAGGTCTCTGTTGTTGTTGTTGTTGCTGTTGTTGTTTTAAAAAAGGTAGCTACAGTGGTACCCCGCAAGACGAATGCCTCGCAAGACGGAAAACCCGCAAGACGAAAGGGTTTTCTGTTTTGGAGGCGCTTCGCAAGACGAATTTCCCTATGGGCTTGCATCGCAAGACGAAAGCCCATAGGGAAATGCTGGCGGTCGGGAGCAAAGACTTTCGCCCACAGCCGGCCTTCAGAAGAGGACCTCTTCTGAAGGCCGGCGGGGGGCAAAAGTCTTTGCTCCCCCCCCGCCTGCCTTCCCCCCGCCTGCCGGGGGCGATCTTAAAATGCTGGGGGTCGGGAGCGAAGCGCTGCCGACCCTAGCATTTTAAAATCTCCCCGTGTCCCGGGGAGGTTTTAAAATGCTGGGGGTCGGGAGCGAAGCGCTGCCGACCCCCTGCATTTTAAAATCTCCCCGTGTCCCGGGAAGGTTTTTAAAATGCTGGGGGTCGGCAGCCCGACCCCCAGCATTTTAAAATCTTCCCGGGACACGGGGAGATTTTAAAATGCTGGGGTCGGCAGCGCTTCGCTCCCGACCCCCAGCATTTTAAAACGCTGTTCCGAAGGGGGGGGGGACATCTGCCCCAGCCGCCCCACTTCGGAAAGCTGTTCCGAAGCGGGGAGGGGGGGCGGGGACATCTGCCCCAGCCGCCCCACTTCGGAAAGCTGTTCCGAAGCGGGGAGGGGGGCGGGGACATCTGCCCCAGCCGCCCCACTTCGGAAAGCTGTTCCGAAGCGGGGAGGGGGGGCGGGGACATCTGCCCCAGCCGCCCCACTTCGGAAAGCTGTTCCGAAGTGGGGAGGGGGGGCGGGGACATCTGCCCCAGCCGCCCCACTTCGGAAAGCTGTTCCGAAGTGGGGCGGGGGGGGGCGGGGACACCTGCCCCAGCCGCCCCACTTCGGAAAGCTGTTCCGAAGCGGGGAGGGGGGGCGGGGACATCTGCCCCCGCCGCCCCACTTCGGAAAGCTGTTCCGAAGCGGGGCGGGGGCGGGAACACCTTCTGAAGGCGGGCAGGGGGCGAAAGTCTTTGTCCCCCCTGCCTGCCTTCCCAGGGGCTTTTAAATCGCCCCGGACAGCGGAGAAGTCCTCCGCTGTCCCGGGGTTTTTTAAAATGCTGGGGGTGGGAAGAAAAGCCCTTGTTCCCCCCCCCCAGCCTTCAGAAGAGGTCCGGGGACAGACTGTCCCCGGATCTGGTCTGAAGGCGGTTTCCCTAGGAACGCATTAATTGATTTTCAATGCATTCCTATGGGAAACCGTGCATCGCAAGACGAAAAAAACCGCAAGATGAAGAGACTTGCGGAACGAATTAATTTCGTCTTGCGAGGCACCACTGTACAGTCTAAAGCAGATGAACCATTTGGTTAGTGTCTGCCTGTCTTATTTTAATGCATGAACTGTTGTAAGATCTAGCAGTTATTAGGCAGGATACTTGTTTCCCTGCAGAAGTTTCACAACTGGATTTGTATGAGATTGTACATGTTTGACTGACTGTGATTGTCCCTCAGTCTTGAGGCTGAGATGCGTTCTAGTTATAACACATGAAGAGGTCAAGAATGGTTGACAAGTATTGGAAGAATATTAGCTGCTGCTGCTGCATCCAGCAGGTCAGAGGTTCCCCAACACTCATATGCTGGATGCATGGATTTCTTCAACCTGCCAAAGCCTCTTGAAGCGAGCAAAACTGGGAAAGGGCCAGATCCTATGCTGTACGGGTCTTGTTATTTCCGAAGAACCTTGAACCTTTGATTGCTATAGTGAAGAGATCAAACTCCAACCACAACAACGGCAGGCCAGCTGCAGATCCTTTTCATAAACTAAAACTGAAACACTTTGCAGATCAGCATTGGTAAAGAATTCTCTATTACAGATGTTCTCTATGTAGTTGCACCTCTTATCTTCCTCCTTATCTTGCACTGCAATGCTTCAGAAACTAACATAGAAAAGACCTATTCAGAATGTAAGCCTGAATTTACAAATACCCAGGTTTTAGGGGCATATTTGAAATTTCGAATGCGAGTTACTCCAGTTTATCATATGAGAAATTCTACACACCCATTCCATGTAAAATGTGGAGGACCCCCCCCCCATAAGGAATCATGAGAATTTGTTTGCAGGTGGTAGGGTGGCTGCAGTTACATTCCCTCATGAAACTATAGACTGCCCTGCACAGGTCTTTTGTTTGATAAAGACCAAAGACTGTAAACAATCACTTACCATATATTATATTACAACAGACCTATTTGCTTGGGATGGCTCAGTCAGTAGAGTATGAGACTCTTAATCCCAGGTTGTGGGTTCAAGCCCCACCTTGGACAAAAGATTCCTGCACTGCAGGGGCTGGACTAGATGGCCCTATGATTACATATCCTAGATATCACAACTTTACATGTGTCATGTTATAGAAAGCATTGAGAGAAGAGTTCCTGGACTTGCAACCAAGTGCCACGGTCATAAAGTGTAATCCCTATAAACAACCTACTCAAATCAACCTGACCGTGGTTAACTAAAGTTTTATTTCACCAAGAATGCATACTTGCTATTTTTACATACCATATGCTGCAATCTTTCCCATAAAAAGCAAGTTTAACTAGTTAAGATAGTGATCTTCATAGACTATGGAGCTTTTTAGAAGAATTTCAGTGATACAGAAGTACTGTCAGATTATAGGACTTTATCAAGCTGACACTTTCTAATCTGTCTCTTCCACCTTTTCTATGTGCTGATATGTAAGCCTAGGTAATCTTTTTGAATTTGCAGTTAGTGAAACACAGTACTGAGGGGAAAGGGCAGCTACAGGTTTATTGACATTTAAATATTCCTCAACATGTCCATTCTAGAAATCAATGGTCTCTAAATGGAGCCATTGATTATTTCTCCAGATGCTTCTCAGATACACATTACTCCCCATAGTTGCTTTGACAATAAAATGCATAAACACTAAGAACAAGAAATTCCTCTTTAAGATCAGGTTATAAACAAATTTTGTACTGATCAACATAAAGGACAGTTGCATAAAGGCTGAATTAAGAAAAGTTAGTTAAATGCAATTTAGGTGAATTACCACACCCAGACATTTGTAAGGTAAAGCTAGGAAGCATCGGAGAGCTTTCTATAAGAAGAATATTCCCAGAAGGACCTGGATTGTTCATGACACATATTTATAACCACCCCTCTTTCAAACTGAGCAAGTATGCATTGTGTTAGTTCCAGTTATAATTTCCAGCTGTGTCAATGCTTTAAGAGTCTAAAAGCAGGAAATCCAAGAGGAAATTCCATCGTCAGTTCCCGGAGTTTTGTAACCCAAATGTTCTTCCAAAAAGGAGCTCTGAAAGGAATCTGGGAGTGTTTGTTGTAGCCTTACCTCATATCTTCAAGTAAGTCACATTCTGCCTGATGTTTGGCTTGAATTTTTGTCATCTGTTCAGCCTGGATAAGTTTTAGCTCTTGAGTGATTTTCACCTTAAAAAATAAAAAGACATATAGTGAAAGGTGTGATTTAAAATCTGTTTTAGTCTTGTAAAGTTGGTTCTCAAGATGCTAGATTCTGGAACATGTTATTTCATATTACAAGCTCCATGAACAGAGACATGTTTTTGCTTACTTCTAAACATTGCAGTTCCAAACTTTGTAGAATAGGCAGCATGCCCTCCACCAATCTGTTTACAGTATATGGTCTACACTCCTGGAAGGCGCCATGTAGCAAACATACCCCTCCTCTGAATTTTCTCTGAACTGCAGTAAACTTGAGGAGCAGGTGTCATGTCATGATGATTTGAAGCAAACAGACCAAATGTTAGCACAGAAAGCACCTCACCACCACTAAGGAAGAGTAGGAAGCCACTTCTCTATTGCAGTGAGCTCTGAAGAAGGCAGAAAGGCACATGTTTCTCACAATTTTACCCAAATCCGGTATTACAGAAAACACCCCTCTTTCTTTTTCCAAATCTTTTCTCCCCTCAGCCAAGCTACCCAGGATGTACTATGGAGCTTGAGAACAAGTTAGAAGCAAAGGCAAATAACGGCCAACTAGTGAGCTAGCCTAAAATTTATGGATCCCTAATCCACAATATTCTCATTTTATAATTTGACAACTGTAGCAACTAACATCGGCAAGTTTTTAAATTCATACCATTTGCCAAAGTAAAGTCATTTGCATATCCTATTTTGAATACCTCAAGCTGGCACAATGCAAAAACTTTGCCTTTGGATGGTATCGCAAGCAAAGTTTTCAGGTTGCTAAACAGCCAAACAATCAAGAGAACTCAGAGTCTCAAGCCTTGAGCTACTGAGATGTCACCTTGCAGTCAGGTCACATATGAAGTTGGCAAAAAAACAAACAAGGAGGGAGAGGGCGCTCAGAATTCCAAGGTGCAAAAAAGCTTGCTGAAACGATTCTCAAAATTATTCTTAAAATGCATATAATGTGAATTACGTGAGTCCTTATTTCTCTCTGTTCTAAACACTGTATCGAATTTAAACTTCCATACCTACAGCCTCTCACTGCTTCCTGGTACTGCGAGCAATATGTTCACTTCTCTCTAAACATCCAAGCACAGACCCACTTGCAACAAGAGATTCAGCTCTATAGTGCTTGGAGCAAGAGTGCAAATATTGAGGGGAAAGAGGTAAAGCACTCCCAAACTCAGGATGTTTAAGAAGAACACCAGAACACAGGAAGAGTCTTCTGAACTTGGCCAATGGTCCATCTAGTTCAGCATCTTGTTCTCAGGATAGCTGACAAGATGCCTCTGGGAAGCCTGCAAGCTGGATGTGGGTTTAACATATCTCCCGGCTGCGATTCCCAGCAACTAGTATTCAGAGACATATTATCATTATTACAATTATTATTAATTAGATTTGTAGAACGGTGCAATTGATGCAACTAAATTTCACATTGGTTGACTCCATGTAACAGCAACCTTTAAATGCAATTATCTCAGTCGAGAGTCCAATATCCTTAATGATGTTTTCTGAATATAGCAGTCAAATATACCTTTGTGTCGTAACAATACATCATCTTGAGGTCATGTTTTTTTCAAGCTGCTGCTGAGCAGCATGACAGGGGTTGGACTGACTCGTTACAGGCATCACCACAGAAATTCACATTTTTTTAAAAGACACAGGCTCAAACCTTTTAACCCTTCTTGCTTTTAGCATCATGTTGAGCCAGATCATTATATAGAGAAAAAACACAACTCTTCTGAAAGAAAAAAAAAGAACAAAAACAGGGAAACAGACCTTCCCTCAAGCAAAAGCAATCTTCCCCATCTTATCCACTAGGCAACAGAAATCTCACCTCCCCCTCTTCTGGCAATCCCAACCCTGAAAATATTCCCCCAGCAACAAGAATGCCCCAATCCTAGAAAAACACGAAGAGGCAAGCTTTTATGCCCAGTTAGCCAAGACTTAGTACTTTTAAACAAATGGAGAATCCAGTATTCTTTTTTTTTAAAACCAAAAAGCTGAACATGTTTGAATTTTATCCAAACAGCACGAAAAATAAATTCATCAAGCATAGCTGCCTTAACCCATGGAATGGAGATAAAATCCCCTTGTGAAATTGAAACACAGTGCACAATGCATAAACTTGCATGCAATATAAACAGAGTGGAAACTAGAATGGCCTTTAACATAAACTCTGCTTCCTGGCCAAGTCCACCCTCAAAACAACAGAGAGGGGCAGAGAAAAGCATCCTTCTTCCCTCCCCCAAACGTAACAAGCTATCTTGATGCACTGAGGAGTTCAGGCTTTTTGTTTTACACAGTTCAAACACACACACACTCTCCAATATATTCTGTCGCATCCAAGATCCATTTTAAACACACAAACATATAAGTATGCAGCTCTTTACAGAGTTCTAGTAAACAGGCCCCAAGATCTCAAGGGTAATGTCCTCAACTCTTACAGCACTATACCCCACTCCTAACACTACCAAATGCATTATTTGAATTCTTTTTTTTATCCCCAATCCCGTGCATCACATTAAACATGCTGTCTGATAATACTAGAACTCAGGGCTTTGCAATTAAGCTGGTTATCAAGATTCAGGATATACAACATGAAGTACTTCACACAGTGCATAGTTCTGTGAAAACAGAATGCTAGACTAGATTGGGTCTTGGTCTGATCCATCCAGGCTCCTACGTTCTTGAGACTTACTCATTCCCCCTTTTATATCACAAATGGTTAACTCCACCCACCCTCATCCGTGTCCTGTAGACTGAATTGCTATTTATAGTCCTTCTGTAACTCACTGCCCAGGTTCTCAAAGTGATTATCCCCACCACCGGGTGTCAACACCAGAGATGCTGCAAAAGCACCACCAAAGAAAGGAATCTACAACCCTCTCTTATTTCTTTAGAGGCTTTAGCATGGTGCTGTCCTGACCTACCAGAGCTCTTGAATCATATGACTGCAATGCAAACAGCTGACCAACCTCCTAACATCCTAATGTAGTCAAAGTCAACTTTAGGACACCTGACACCACAAAGATTCTTTATTCTCTAATGCTGTCACCAACACTCACTTCCTCTTTTCCCCGCCATCACAAAGTCACCAAACTTTGCTAATGCATCCTATATCCCTAAAGGAGCTGCCTCGGTATCTTGCTAGTGTATTTGGCACTGTACATATGCACTCAGATGAACAGCAGCTGTCCAAGGTCTTTTGCAGGCCTCCTGGCCAATTACCGGTACCTGTAAGCAAACTTCTGAGGCCTTGCACATGCAATGAAGGTGCTTTACAATGGAGCTACAACCCCTGCTAGCATCCACCGCACAAATTTTTGTGGCCCGTTCTGTGTGATCCAACATGACCCTACCCTAAAACAGCACCAGCCTTCCAATCTCAAAGCACTCACAGCAAATCAAGCATTCATATCAGGACCTTAGTCCTCTTATACCAGAATCCTACCTTCCACTCCCCCTGCTCTCTGCAGTGCAGATCATTCCTATTTAACCCAGTCAGTTTCTAACTTCCTATGACAGCCAGCATCCACCAGAAATTGCACTTAGCCCCATATCTAACCAAGGCAGGCAATCTGCCCCCTTACAAGCAACCTGACCCCCAAACAGACCAAATCGCCATAGCTGACCACCACAGCCTTCAGACACTTTTGATGCTAACTTGCCTCCCTAACAATCATATTCTGTCACAATTCCCATTCCTCTGCAGCCTACCCTCAAAATCCCTACAGCTCTCGCTGCAACTATTTTCTCCACCTCTTCAGCACCTCACAACTGCTTGTTCTCTTGCCATCCCAATTACACACTGCCCTCCACCAATTCAGCTGCAAGCATATCAACACACCCCAAATCTCAGTATGTCAAAAGCACCCTTAGGCCCCACTAATTCCATGCCCCAGGGCAACCTGCTACCAACCTCCACCCACTGCAATCTGAATCCAACCTCCAAAACGCTTAGCGTATGTTGTCCCACAGGGACAGCAACCTACCTTCCACCAGTAATACAGTGGTACCTTGGGTTAAGTACTTAATTGGTTCCAGAGGTCCGTTCTTAACCTGAAATTGTTCTTAACCTGAAGCGCCACTTTAGCTAAGGGGACCTCCTGCTGCTGCCGCGCCGCCAGAGCACGATTTCTGTTCTCATACTGAAGCAAAGTTCTTAACCCGAGGTACTATTTCTGGGTTAGCGGAGTCTGTAACCTGAAGCATCTGCTACCTGAAGCATATGTAACCTGAGGTTCCACTGTATATCTAGCAACCCTTGCTCACATTCACAAGTTGCACTGTACCTCCCCTAAAAATAAAAAGCCTCAATCCATGGAAAGAGACCCAGCCACATGCCTGTCTTCTGCACCTCCCTGCCCTATGCCACCTTTGCCACAAGCAGCTCTGCAGCCCAAGCAGACACACAAATAGCACCTTTGCAACCCTCCTTTCCTGTTCCCCCCAAGATGCCACCCCCCCCCGAAATCGAAAGCCTATGGCTTTGCCCACCGGCCTGCAACACCAAGCATCCCTTCCACCTGCATCCCGATTCAGAGGCTCCTGCAGCCTGACTGACAGCTAATAGACCCCCCACCACCACCATCAAAAGTCTGCTGCCCCCTTCACCCCCCACAGAGCCAACCCTGCCATGCCCCGCACCCTGAAATCCAGCTCCGCAGGTGACACCTCCGCAGCCCCTGCTGCGGTGGGTGCCACCCCCCACCCCCCAAATGCAACGCATTTATAACACACATGTACAAACCCTCCCAAAATCCAAATCACACTCCCCCCCATGGGGCCTTCAACGACCCTCTCCTCCTCCCCCCCCCACGCTAAACCTCTCTAAAGCACGGACCACCCCCCTCATTCGCTCCCCCCACATCACTACGCCCCCGCCCCCCTCTTTTTGCAAGCAAGGCTGCCTTTCTCTCTGCATCCCCCCCCTCAATTCAGAGCCCCCCTCCCTCAATTCAGCCTGCCCCCCCCCGCCTGTGAGGGGGCAGCACCTCTCCTCCTCCCTCCCCCCCCCGGTTTTAATTTTTACCTCAGTCCCGCCCCCCCCCACCCGCACGGCCTGCCCCCCCAACTAACCCCCCCCCTTCCTCACCTTCCTCGGCGGGGGCTGCATGGCGGAGGCGGCGGCGCTGCCGCTCTCGGCCTCCACATCAATCCCTTCCCCGCCCCGAACGGCGGCGGCGGCGGCGGCTCTGCTGAGGGGAGCTGGAGGGGGAGGGGAGCAGGCAACGGTCGGCTCCGAGGAGGCGGCGGCGGCGGCGGGAGAGACGGCGGAGGAGGGAGGAGGAGGAGGCGAAGCCGGCCCAGCTCGGTCCCCGGCGCGTCTCGCTCTCTCTGCGGCAGAGGCAGAAAGCGAGCGAGGGAGAGAGGGAGCTGCGGGTGGGCGTGGCCAGGGCGGAGAGAGAGAGAGGGAGAGCGAGCGGTGGGCGTGGCTACGGCGCCGGCCGGGGGGGGAGGAGGAAGAAAAGGGGGCGCGGCTTTCGGCCCTCCCTTTCCCGCGCCGCCGCCGGAGGGAAGGAGCCGAGCGTCTGTGAGAGAAGGGGGAGGAGCTTGGCGCGCGAGAGAAAGAGGCAGAAAGACCTCGCGTCGGGCGCGCGCGAGAAGGCGAGGTTATAAAAGGCGGCGGCGCCGACGCCGGGGGCTTCTCACTGAGGCGCCGCCGGCGTTGCCGCCCAGCTAACGGAATGCGTGCGCGCGCCCGCCTCCCTCCCGTGTGGGCCTGAGGGGGGCGAGTAATGGGTTGGGGGCGTGAGGAGAAAGAGATTTGTCGGGGGAGAAGAGGCGAGGAGCGGGATACGGGTTCCCGCACCGTCGTGAGGAGAGGGCTGTGAGGGGGGGAGGCGGCCTGACAGGCGGAAAATGAGGCGCGCGCGCTCCCGCCCGCCTCACTGAGGGGGCAAAAAAAATAGGATTTTATTTTTTTTAAGGTGGTGGCCTCTTCGCGCGTGTCGGTGTGACAGAGGCGGTACCGGCTTTTCATCGCCTCGCACGTGTGAAGGGGGACCCGCCGCGCTTCGCATCCGTGACAACGTGGGGGGGGGAGGGATGGCGGCGCGGGGAGATAAAGAGAACGCGAATGCTTCCCGTCTCCGTTTCATTCTCTCGTTCCCAAAAAAGGGGGTGTCTTTCCAAGCCAGCCCCGCATCCCGCCGATTCAGACGACCACCTAGACACGGGGAGAGAAAGGGGCGGGGAAACACGGGAGAGTCTTGAGGGGCGGGGCGCTCGCGCTCTGATTTGACTGACAGGCGGGTTAAGTGGGCGGGGGAGGAGCCGCCGCCTTCGCGCTGAAACGCGCGCGCCGACGCTGCCCCGCCTCCCATTGGTTGGCGCGTTGCGAGCGTGCTTCAATTGCGAGAGCTGGCTTAGCTGCTGCTGCCCCCTAGCGGAAAGACGCCGCGAATGCAGCGAGTCGTGGAGGCGCAAGCGAGATACATTTGCAGATCCTCTCTCTATGCACGTGTGGTCGGATTGGGGTGCCGCTGCTGTAGCTTGCGTGCAATTTCCTGGGAATTCGGTCATCCGGTGCCTGGTTGCGGGGTAGCAAGCCTCCATGCGTTCATGGCAAGCTGCCTTATTCTGAGGCTGTAGACTCAGCGTCAATTTAAAATAAAAGTCATTATTTTTCGTAATTCAGATCAGAGCTGAGGATTATTTTTTTTGGGGGGTTAACGCTTTAAAAATGCAGTAGGTCATGAGAAACAATGGGGTATGGCCAACGTACATGTGTCCGGCACCCCAAAACCAGTGGTGGAGGTGTGCTGGATGCAGAGTGAACAGATTGTGCACAGCCTGCTCTCCAAGGTTTTATACTGCATTTCTAGCCTGCTCCTTCAAGAAACTCAAGGTGGTGTACATAGTTACCCTCCTCGCTTTATAGCTTAGGCTTGCCCAAGGTCACCCAGCAAACTTCATGGCAAAGTGAGAATTTGAATCCTGGTCTCTCAGTTCAACACTAACCCGGTGGTTCTCAAAGAATATGGCATGCCACATTGGTGTGGCAGGAGAGAATGACAAGTGTGGGAAGATTCAAGGACCACCAAAGAAACATTTCAGTGTCATATAGGATACTATAAGAGAAAATTAAATTTGCAGAATATGGATATATATATATATATATCTTTTCAAACGAAAGCAGGAGCTTTGCCTATTCTAAAGTTCTCCACAGCATATTGTTGTGAACAAGGATTTTCAACTCTGACAAATATGAAAGGTCAGAAAAGAGAAAGGTTTCTTTGTATTGATGAGGAAATGGGAGTGTGTTTGTCTCAAAATTAGACCTAATAAATGAGATTACCCATATATATATATATATATACACATACATACATATAAGTGGCTCATTTATAATTATATTTTAGGGATGATTCATGTTCTTATGCAGCTGTATCATTTTATACTTCCTGGATGTCCCTTGATAATATTATAAAGTAGTTGTATTCTGTGATATAAATCAAGCAGTAGTTGTTTTTTAATTTTCATTTCCCAATATGCTTCTTTTTTGAGAACCGCTGCTCTAACTACTACACCACAGTGGCTTTCAGGTTTTAAGGCAGTCGTCCCCCCAGCCATACATGAAGATGTCAAGGATTTTGCATGCATGGTCCTTCTCTTTAAATAAACAAGGCAGTGCAACCTTGAAAGTACCTAAAAGTCCCATTGAATTCAGCGGTGCTTACTCTCAGGTAAAAGGGATATGAGATTTCAGTCTTTGTCGTTTTGTAAAGAAAAGGGATAGTGCTGAGAATCTACCAGGCTGTAACAGAGGTCCAAACAATGGGGCAAACTCAAAATGCAAATTACATGGAATCAGGGGTGCTAACTTGATTGGATGGCCCAAGTAAGCCCTGCCCTGCACAATTGATCACATGACACGGTGCACAGACATCTATTTGAATGGCAATGTCCATCAACTTTGGGGTGGGCCAGCCCTCAAATATTTTATTGGGGGGGTGCAAGGATCTCGGCCCCTAGGAGCTGGCTCCTATACGTGGGGCTTGACCATTCCAGTTCTTCTTGTTGTTTAGTTGTGTCCGACTCTTCGTGACCCCCTGGACCAGAGCGCGCCAGGCACTCCTGTCTTCCACTGCCTCCTGCAGTTTGATCAAACTCATGTTAGTAGCTTCAAGAACACTGTCCCACCATCTCGTCCTCTGTCGTCCCCTTCTTCTGCCCTCCATCTTTCCCAATATCAGGGTCTTTTCCAGGGAGTCTTCTCTTCTCATGAGGTGGCCAAAGGATTGGAGCCTCAGCTTCAGGATCTGTCCAAGGCTGATTTCCTTAAGAATGGATAGGTAATCCAGTTCTTGCAAAGTACTAATTATAAATGGCTATTCCAACCTTAATGGAACGTGGGTGGCACTGTGGTCTAAACCACAGAGCCTAGGGCTTGCCGATCAGAAGGTTGGCAGTTCGAATCCCTGCGACGGGGTGAGCTCAAATTGCTTGGTCCCAACTCCTGCCAACCTAGCAGTTCAAAAGCACGTCAAACTGCAAGTAGAATCATAGAATCATAGAATTGGAATAGACCACAAGGGCCATCGAGTCCAACCCCCTGCCAAGCAGGAAACACCATCAGAGCACTCCTGATATATGGTTGTCAAGCCTCTGCTTAAAGACCTCCAAAGAAGGAGACTCCACCACACTCCTTGGCAGCAAAGTATATAAATAGGTACCACTCTGGTGGGAAGGTAAACGGCGTTTCATTGTGCCAGAAGTGGCTTGGTCATGCTGGCCACATGACCTGGAAAAACTGCAGACAAACGTCAGGTCCCTTGGCCAGTAAAGCAAGATGAGCGCTGCAAACCCAGAGTCATTCGTGACTGGACTTAACTGTCAGGGGTCCTTTACCTTTTATTCCATGGGTAGGCAAACTAAGGCACCGGGGCTGGATCTGGCCCAATCGCCTTCTAAATCCGGCCCGTGGACAGTCCGGGAATCAGTGTGTTTTTACATGAGTATAATGTTCCCTTTTATTTAAAAGGCATCTCTGGGTTATTTGCAGGGCATAGGTTTGTTCATTCCCCCCCCCCCCAAATATAGTCTGCCCCCCCATAAGGTCTGAGGGACGTTGGACCGGCCCCCTGCTGAAAAAGTTTACTGACCCGTTTTATTCCAACCTTGCCTAACAAAACCAGATCTTTTATCATCTTCGTCTCTGCCACTAGGGGGCATATGCTGCCAGGGTTATTTCTTTGGTTTCGTAGTCAAAATCTCTAGCTGTCAGAATTTCCCACCATGTCTTTTTTCTTCTCTTAACAGCAAAACAAAAATGATTGTATTTGTGTATTTCTGCCCGTCGTTGCCCGCAGTGGCTTGTAGACTTCTGTTCGGCAGTCTTTTAAAGAATCTTTTGTAGATCACCAGCCAGTGATAAAATACAATAAGAGGCATTGAATTCTCAGTTGCCTTCTGGCAAAGCTGCAAAGAGCAACTCCATAAGATAATGGACTCAACAGATCAATTGATGGTTTTATACACAAGCCCTTAAAGCAATCCCTGGCTTGAAAGGGCAAGTTGTTCCATAGGAGTGGGAAGATGGATAAAGAACGGGCTGTTTCCTCCAAAAAGCTGCTGTAGCCCAGCGGAAAGTGGCGGAGGCAGGAATGGACCTGGTTTCAGGTCCCATCTCTGCCTGAGGTCCAGTGTCTTGCTCTCTCTGCAAAATGGGAATGTGACAAAGTAGAATTACAACTGTGATTGATTTAACACACATAAAACAACCTTGATTATTAATGAACAGTAATCCTTGAGCAGGGACGCGGGTGGCACTGTGGGTAAAAGCCTCAGCACCTAGGGCTTGCCGATCGAAAGGTCGGTGGTTCGAATCCCCGCGGCGGGGTGCGCTCCCGCTGCTCGGTCCCAGCACCTGCCAACATAGCAGTTCGAAAGCACCCCCGAGTGCAAGTAGATAAATAGGGACCGCTTACCAGCGGGAAGGTAAACGGCGTTCCGTGTGCTGCGCTGGCTCGCCAGATGCAGCTTTGTCACGCTGGCCACATGACCCGGAAGTGTCTCCAGACAGCGTTGGCCCCCGGCCTCTTGAGTGAGATGGGCGCACAACCCCAGAGTCTGTCAAGACTGGCCCGTACGGGCAGGGGTACCTTTACCTTTAATCCTTGAGCAAAAAGTTAGAGGCCTCCCCATTTGTTGTTGTTTAAGTCATTTAGTCGTGTCCGACTCTTCGTGACCCCATGGACCAGAGCACGCCAGGCACTCCTGTCTTCCACTGCCTCCCGCAGTTTGGTCAAACTCATGCTGGTAGCTTCGAGAACACTATCCAACCATCTCGTCCTCTGTCGTCCCCTTCTCCTTGTGCCCTCCATCTTTCCCAACATCAGCATGTTTGTGAGGACCAGCTTGTTCTCTTGACAGAACTCTATTAGAACTC